GTGCGGTGCGACGTGGGTGTATAGGCCACGAAATAGTTTCCATGCATCGCACCGTGTGTAAATACGCGCGCGCGCACACACACACACACGCACGCACGCACGCCCGCCTGCCTATCCGCGCGCGCGCGTGATATATCCCGCAGGATATTGGCCTAGGAGCCGCGTGATTGGCCGATAGCGCGAGCATAGGCGAATAAGTGCGTGTGATGTGCGTACACGCGTGTTCGGCGATGCGCCGAAACGCGCGCCTCCACTATCACACATGCATATACACGCACAATGGCGTAAGCGCATCGCGCCGCGCACACTCGTGATGAGTGACGTCAGAAAAGTCAAATTCAACCGAGAGGTCGAGAAGTTTAGGAGTTGCTTAATTACAAACGTCGACATTAACACATTTATACTCGCTTTGTTAGTTTCAAGAGCTTCGTAACTGTGCGATGTGATTTCTTTTAATTATATGCTCCAATCTTAGCACTGGTATACCGAATGATTTCGTTGATTTGGCTACAAAAATGTCGGTTATTATTGGCAGCATTATTCGCGTCAAACGATTAGCTTGTCCGTTGTTACGATCTATTTGTAATATCAGAAATAGCTTTAATATGTCGCAACGAACGAAATTGTAGACGTATTGAAATTGAAAGACGTATTTGTGCCATTTATTTTCTTTAAAAAAATCTTAATATGTATATCAAGAAATGCAGTTTTAAACTTTGGCCTGAAATAATGTACATATTGAAAAATAATGTCGACCTCTCTCTGAACTTCTTTTTAGCGTGTTTTAAACTATAAAAATGGAATGTTAATTATGTTATTTAAAAAATATCAGCATTCCATGAAATACGATTAACTTGTCGAAAATTGGAGAGATAGTGCGAGCAGCAGTTTTCTAAATATAACATGGATGCATGCATCCCTCTTCTTAGTTTGTATGTGAAAATGTCATGGTATAGAACTGCATACCACGCTTCCTCTGTTTCGCTCTCTCAGCGTACCTAAGTTTCAAGTTTTAAAAGCGTGTTCGAATTTTCTCTCGACTTGTTCTGATCGTAGATCTTAGACCTGAGTCACCATCAGTTACGATTAGGAAGAAATTAGGAACTCGCATCGAGCTGAAGTTTATTGCAAAATAATTTTCGCGTTCGCGCCTTCAACTTGACAGAGGTATCCCTCGATTTTCGCTCACGCTTCCGACACAGCTCTCGATCTGCCAGCATTAATTTATCTCCTTGCTAGGGAAGAATTAAACGTTAAACTCGTCCCTCGTCGGATCGGGGCGGGTCCGACCATGATCGTGGCCTTACTGAAGGTTACGCCATTGGTGCCCCGACTAGCACACACAGAGAAGAAGGAGGAAATTCACGGACGCACGGACTCGCTTCACCACCCCTATGACTGTCGCCGCGTGACGGGCTAGGCCGAGTTGTACGACTAACGGCATGGTGCAAGCGTCAGTGGTCGTCGAGCGGGCAGGGAGAGAGGTTTTCTGATTCCTGGTGCGCGCGGACGGCGGGCCTCTCCCGTTGGAGAACGTGCGGCTTTTTCGCGTGCGGGCGCGCATGGTCCTCCACGTGGGGTGGGTGGGTGTTTGTGAAACAAGGAGTGCGTGTGTGTGCGTGCGCGTGTATGTGTGTGTGTGTGCCCTTTTTTCCCCTCTTTCTCTCGCGTTCTCCGCGTGCGGCTTGTTCCGCCGCGTGAGGCGTGCAACGCGTAGACGTATAGGTAGATACGAACGCGCGCGCGAAGGGGAGAGCGACAGAGAGTGCGAGAGCGACAGAGAGCAAGAGAAGTCCACGGTCCCCCGTAAAAACGCGTTCGAAGTGCACGCACTTCGGATAACTAAGGTATATCCAATAGACGAGATTAAAGAGGGAGGAGCGAGCGGGCTTAGGCAGATTGTATGGGATATGCTGATAACATGACGCCCGTCTTTCCTTGATCTGCGCCTTCGTATCCGGGAAAATTCATTCAGAGACGCACACGATACGGGAGAGGAACATTAGCCTCCGGCCTGCATCTCTCTCTCTCTCTCTCTCTGGCTCTGCGCTCGCTTTTATTAGATCACCGCCCAACAGCCGTTTCGCCGTCGCGAGAGAAGCGTCGTACGAAGTCACTAACAAGTAAGTTCAATGCACTTTTTCTCCTCCGCTCTCAACGATCCGCGACAGTGTCATATTAATAATTTGCATCTTTTCGCTTACCGGGCGCAAATTGTGGGCAATTTTTTTCTCTAATTTAACACGCATTGCGATGATTATATGATGACATTAAAAAACACATAAAACGAAATCTAGTTTAAAGCAAAAACAGCAAGAGTGATTAAAGATTTTTATCGATTCTTACTACTAATACAATAAGGTAAGCTTCTCGCTTACTTGATTCTAACATCTCTGCGCTTCGCTTATACTTATTACTGTCTAACAAGAAACATTTTTTTCTCCTGCAATTTAAAGTGAAAAGTTATTGAATAATTATAGATTATTTGACTTTCGTTTCTAGACTTTCATTTCTATAAGAAATGTTGTGTTACTTTTTTTTCTCCCTTTCGCAAGCGCGCTTTTCTCGCAAGCTTCAGTTACATTGGCGGGTAGATCGGTCGAGGATAATTTGCGAGCCGACCAGATTAAAACGTCAAAATGGCTCGTTGGCTAGTTGGCGGCTGTTCGCTTCCACGTATGCAATATTTTCCAGTTCACGAGACGAGAGTTACCTTATCTTTTTCTTATCGTCTGTTTGTTCCCAATTCCTACTGGGTCGAGCGAGAAGTCGACTAGAACGCGTGACTCACCCTACAGGAGAAATGCAAATATCGACTGACTTCCCCTCGCGACGCGATCTCACCCCCAGGCCATGAAACATCGATCGTTTCATTTTCTCTCATTATCTCAATCATTTAGAAAGGGAAAAATAGAAACGAAAAAGTAACAGCGCGCTAGATAAATCTAAAATATCGAACTCGCAAGAAGGAAATGAAGTAAATGAATATAAATGTGCTTTAATTATATATATATATATATATATGTTGTACAGAATATTTGTGTATAATATATACACAAATTGCATATTAATTTCATGTATATTTGATATTAAAGTATCAAAAATAAAATATGCAGGCATAACCAAAGATGAATAGTGTAAAAGTAAAGTCGATAAAATGTACAAAGAGAAGCTCGTATAAATCTTTGTAAGCGAAACGTTCGGCGAATATGCGAATTAAAAAGCTTACCTTTTCATTATTAACGTAAAATCGCTCAAAAATAGAGAGAATTATAAAATTTTATAGAACTTCGATTCGCGCTTCTTTGCACGTCGAATTTACACAAGGTTACAAAAGTATTTACAAATATTCAACAGTAAGATCGCGAATGGAGATATAAAATAATATTTATAGAGAGAATCAGTTACTCGTCTGTAACCTAGAAGTTCAGTTCTTTTATGTTAATAACTGAAAAAAGGTTTGCGGGAAAGCGAACGGTCAGGTAGGTGTACTGAATTTTTTTCACCGTTTTTTACCCTTGCTTTTTTTGCTTTGAAGGTTTTATGACTATCGTACATTATTCTGTGAATGTCAACAGGGTAGGGTTAAAGTAAGGATTAAAGAAGTTTCGGTCAAAGTATACGGCCTGACAATAGCTTAACAAAACCGTTTCCATGCAATTTTGATTGCTCGTATCTCGTTTAAAACGCGTACGAAAACAATTAACGGACAAATTTCATAGAAATCAATGCGAAATTATTAGAGATTGCGTTTGCGGATCGCATACAATTACAATTTCACCCGCGATTATAATACAATTTTATTCGGTCTTTATTGACGATAGCTCAACGATATCGTAATGTAGTACATATTAATATTAATGTATAAATATTATTATACTAATAGCTATTTCTAATTAATACTAAAGTGACGCAAGAGATTTTTATTATAATAGATTATATATATATATATATATATATATATATATATATCTATATATATATATATAAACGAAATGATGAATAATATGTTACGTAAAACGAAAATTTGTAGAATTACTTAACTTTGAAAATTCTCTTGACTATAGAGAATATACAGAATTCTCTTTCAAGTAGATAATTTGCGACGTCTCGACGTCGCGTCTTATCGTCGCGTCGATCTTTATCTCATCGCGTTGTCATTTCCTTAGTTTGTATTCGTATAGGCGTATTTGTTTTTTTTCTAATCACTTTCGGACTTTGAGATAATCTTAATCGTTTTCGAAAACAGTCTCGAGTCTCGGCATTTCGATTCTTAACTAAAGATTAGCAAGAAATACGAGATACCGAAAAGAAAAAATGGAAGTATCTTTATCGAAGGTGTCTAACAGTCGACATTATTTGTATATGAATCATTTGGATCGTCCTGAAATTGTCTTGAAATACAGATCTATTTCCATTTCGATGTAAAATCTGTGTAGCGAGACCGTTTAATATATGTAGATATTATGAATTTCTAGATAATCTAGACAATAGAAACATTTTTCTTTATGTAAATACGAAATATGTAAACTGCATTATATGACTATTTTATAGATTCTTTCGAATATGGATTGTGTTAAAGGTGAAAAAATAGATTCGCGCTTTAATTGTTGCAAATAATAGAATATAGAAGTTACGAGACGTAGAAATTTTACACGATTGCATCGCAAATTTCTCGATAAATGCGATCTCAATTTTTCTTTTGCAAAATAGCAAATTTAAATAGCACAATTTTCCAATGTTTTATATTGTGTTTGCACAAGGTCGAAACTGAAATTATTTTAGTTTTAATCGTCTAATCTTGTTGATAACTGGATATCGATATGAATGACATTTTCGTTCAGTTTAATTTCTTTGGCGAGAAAGAGCGTCGTAATTGCGTGCAAACGACGGGCTATGCTTGCATTAGAATGCATTTATGAACTTTGATCTCTAGCACGAGCCCTTATCACTAGATAGCTATATTTTCCAACAGTTTTCCTTTTTTTTTTTTTGTGATTTTTGAATGCGTCATCAGCAGGATATTCTTGCGTTAGGGCGGGGGTATTCGTGTGGCGAACAGCATTTTTATCTCGTTTTAGCTCGGCCATGTCAGTCGAGTTGCAGTCGAGCCGCATCTCTTTGAACAGGAGTGTGTTTTCCACGCAGGTTCCACGCAGATAGACCATCGCCATGGATGTCACGGACCCCACTCACAATCAGCACTACTGCCTTCGGTGGAACAATCATCGCTCGAATCTGCTGACCGTCTTCGACGAGCTGTTGCACAACGAGGAGTTCAGCGACGTTACCCTCGCCGTCGATGACGGCAGGATGGTCAACTGTCACAGGATCGTGCTGGCCGCATGCTCGACGTACTTCCAGACCTTATTTACCAAACTGCCACCCAATCAGCATCCGATAATCGTCCTCAAGGACGTTAGGTACCTGGAGATAAAGGCGATACTGGAATACATGTATCGCGGTGAGGTGAACGTGGCGCATGAACAGCTATCTGCCCTACTGACCGTCGCGCAAGTGCTGAAGGTAAAGGGTCTGGTGGAGGAACATGAGAACAGTCGGACCAGCACGGCGCGTGACCTACGCCGCGAGGATACGACAATGAACACGCAAATATCACCGCCGCCGACTATCACCACCAGCACCGGTGGTGGCGGCAACGGCAGCAACTCGCCGCCGTCATACTCCTCCCTTTACGAGAGATCCGCAATCTCGCACGATCGCGCAGGTCAAAGTCATCTAGCGAACTCATTACTCGTCCCGGGCTCGTGGCCGCCGTTACCGTTGGCGGGTCACCAGCTCCCGACACACTCCACCCCCGTTCTCGGCAGCGGAAGCGGCGGTGGCAGCGGCGGCGGCGTCGGCGGATCTTACGACAACGGCATCGAATACTCGCCGCCGCTCAAGGTCCGGAAGCTGCAGTCAAGCCTGTTGATGAACAACGACACGCCGATACTGCGCGGAGTACTCGGTCAATCTCACGTTGATAGTTCACAGGCTATGCCGCTGTTGCAGCCGGATAGCCATGAGCCGCACTATCGCAACGCGAGCAGCAACGGATCCGCGAACGACTGCAGCAATCGCCGCAGCAATGACCTGGCCCATAGTGAGACCGTTCACACCGACGTCTCCTACGTAGACGAGGACGAGAGACAGCCGTCCCCGCAGTCCTATAGCGCAGACACTGTAAGAAATTCAGGTAGCAATCCCACGTCAAATATTACTTCGGAAGTTCTGCACCCAACAAATTTACTGATAAGCAGCATATTTAGTGCATATCTTCAATATTATTATCTGCTAAATAATATATTGGCAAATTCGTCACGCGAACAAAATGCCCCGGGAGATGATAATTCCCGTAGAGGATCTCCCGAAAATACCCAAGGTAGGGAGAAGTTACAGTTTAATAATCGATACACGAAAATTAAAAATTATTTTCTTAAAATTATAATAAATCATATTATCGTAGTGTTTTTATACTTTAAAATTTGCCGCAACAGAGATGATGTCGCAATTTACAAGGGACATGTCACAATCATTCGGAATCGATTTGATTCTTCTTGAAATATGTTGTCAAACATAAAAATCTAACAGACACGTATTTTTTATACGTATGGAATTTCACTTTAAGAGGTAAAACATCCCTTTAAAAATTTTTTTCTCTTTCGGAACGAATATCATTGGAAGTATAAAAGATAGACAAAATTTTTTAAACAAAAGTTGTACGGTTTAAAGAGTACTTTCAAGCTGTAAAGAGAAAAAAAACTTTATTTAACAAAATATCCTCATCACACTATCCAAAGTTTTTTCAAATTTTGTTCAAAGGGCCGACGTTTCACCCCTTGAACATAATATATAATTATGTAGGAAAAAAATACGTGTTTTGTGTTAAAAATATTTCAAGAAGAATCAAATTGGTTCCAAATAGATTTTTATAGCAGAGGATACAAGAATAAAAAGAGTATTGTGTATTATTGTGTATTATTGTGTATTAAATAATATATAATACACAATATTCTTTTTATATTTCAATATTATGATAATACTTTTGATATGAATCTTTTGCATATCTCTTATTAAATTTTATAATGTTATAACAATAGACAATATTAATTTTGTCGATTTATTGTAGCTGCTGCGGATTGCCCCCAGCCGAAGCCTGAATGGAAACGCTATAAACAGTACACCCGAGACGATATCACCGCGGCGATCGAGGCTGTGAGGAGAGGTATGAGCGCCGTACAGGCGGCGCGTAAATACGGCGTGCCGTCGCGCACGCTTTATGATAAGGTGAAGAAGCTCGGCATCCAAACATCGCGGCCACTCAAGCGCTCGTCGAGCAACGGCGGAAGCGGGGCTTCCTTCCCGTACGGCATGGGCGCCAACGCGAACGGCGACATTTACAATAACAGCGTCGTCAGTGCCAATATTCTGTACGACAATGACAGCGAGAGCGGTAGCGGTAACATCAACATCGCCGAGGGCTGTTTGGCCGGCACGAGTGCCCCGGTTTTCAAGGCAGCGTCGTACGCGAAGACGACAAAGGACACGTCGCGGGACTCGGCAATGTCCGCGGACTCGATGGCCAGTTGCAGTTCGAGCCCGGTGATACGCTGCGCCAAACAGAGGCAGCAGCAACAGCAGGAATTGGAGGATCAGGTAGAGGACCTATCGGTGAGTCGCAAATCCGACGTTCCGGTGATAGTACCGTCGCCCACTACATCCGCCGCGATTAAAGACGAGGCGCCAGAAACGGGGCTGGACAGTAAAGATTGCTGCGACTACAGCTAACTTTTGTAGACTAGTAATGAGAGCAATAAGGTATAACCAGCAGTTCAACTTGATATTTCAAAATTAAAATCGATTTAAACAACTTTTGCCTTTTGTCTCGTACGATTTTTCTCTATACACGTCGATCAACAATGAGAAAATCTGTCGATTAGCAATTATTCCCAAATTAATTTTTATAATCTCTATTTCTCCAACAAATTGTAATGAATATATTTTGATATTGAGCTTCTCAATTGCTTCATCCTATTGCTCTATGACTCCGTCGTAGTATAGCTGTATAAGAATTTTTCTTCTCACGTCTTCTCATATTTCTTTACCGAGTGCGGTATTTCCATCCCAGACAGTTGGAAACAGATTTTACAGAGTATCTACCGCAAATTCGATCGATGGAACATAACAGAGTGTACGCAGAATAATGAATATGATAACAGATTGACCGCAGAAACCGAGCAATATCTTCCATTCTACAATCATATGAATGATATGTTCCATTTTTATGAATTTTATAAAATGACAAATTCTGCTCGATTTCTGTTGGCAATCAGATTATGTTAGCAGGCTCCGTTGGCAAAACACGAGATTTAACGCGAACGATTAATTGTCGCCAATCTGCCACAATATTCTCTTCGATTATGCTGATGAACAGCTGCTGATGATTTTGCTGGGATGTTTTTTTTATTTTACTTCTTTGAATATACATTTTGATACGTCACGCTTATGTGTCAAATATATTTATACTCTTTAAACTTGTTTAAAACTTGTTTTTTTCAAAAATAACATCTAAATAATCGTAACATATACGATTATTTAAAAAAAATAAAATTACTAAGGTAATGATAAAATTGTTAATTATTGCAAATTTATTGATTCGTTGTTCGTGATTCGATATTCGGCCATAGTTTAGTGCTAGCCTAAGGTATATTCGCCTAGAATTTAACGCGGATTACGGTTTAATTAAAGCACAAAAGAACGTGTCGCCAGCCAATGATCGTTTTGGACCACTTTTTACGCGAACAACGACAATAAAAAGGATAAAGAAATATAAAATTCAAAAGATATAAAATTGATGTGAAGTTGTAATAAAAAGACGTAGAATTAAAAAAAGGCATATGAATACAATTATCTTAAAACTTAACTGGACAAATATTTCTAAGATTTATTAGATAAGACGAACACATCTGTAATTGGTACTACATTTGGAAATAATTTTCTTTTTGTCTTGCGACATATTCGTTTGTGCGACATATTTTGTCTACCGTAATAGCATTAGAGCTTTAACAAATTGACAGCGAAATAATACGAGGTTTATGAATGAAATCTCAAGTGACGCTATAGATACACAAGGTGTTCCTCCTCTTCTCCCCTCCACTGTCGCGTCAACGTAAACCACGTTTAAAAATGATGCGGTAGTGGCGGGATGTTCTATAATAATAACGTACGTTAACAAATGAAATGCAAGCATGGAAATACTTACGGACGATAGGTTACTTGCATACTTGCTGATTTACCATTTCATTACGAAACTTCGTATTATTTTGTACTGCTTATTTAATAAATGTCGCTGTTAATTTGTTAGCAATTGTAAGTACTTCGTCGTTGTATTCGATCGTTAATGACCATAGCTCCGGGATACGATTGCAATATTGCTCAAATATATCAATAGTAATAATAACAACGAAATACCTCGTAAAAAAACTACGTGTTCATTAACATAAGACTGATAAAATGCAGATTTGAAATATGAAACGTATATTATATATATATATATATATATATGTCGCCGAATTGAAATACTCAAACCTAATCGGGGCAAAGTATCGAGGAAATTTCGATTTGCAAACAGAGAAACTTGTTTTTCTATATTTATATCTGCATCGTGGAAAATATGTGTTGAAAAATGTAAAAATTTATTTTTTACTTTTACAGTGATCTTCGATATGCGAGACATAAATACCCGAATTATTAATTTGCAATCGTTTTAGCATTTTGACATTTTTGTGTACACACTAACGTAACGTATATATATGCCCATGCATTTTTTTTACAAACACGGTAACTTTGCGTTCCCTTTGGCATTTTTATGTTCCGTGATTTTTATCTCGAGACTTATTTGCAGAATGTATTTGCGAAACAGAAGCTGGATAAACAGATTACGCTGAATTAAGAAACGCGTTGCAGTACAATTCCATTCGAACATGCTAAACGCGCATGGAGAATGGACCAGGGAACGTCGGCGCCTGATGATTTTTCGTCGATACTTTGCTTCCCTAAACCAAAGTTACTTCGTAACATTTTTACCTCAATATTTTATTGTAAGTCATTCCATATTTATCTCAATAGAATTTTTATAGAGAAAAAAATATTTACAGAACGTATTAAAATAATGCACGAATAAAATGCAGTACCTGTCCGCTATGTGATCAATTCAAGCACCTATACTTAGAAAATAAAATCCGAAAGTATCAAAGATCTCTGGAGTTAAACTGCCGTTATTGTATTACGTAAGGCAACTTAAAAAAAACTCTATTATATCTGTTAATATTTAAGGGTGCGTATATTACTTTAGTCAGTTGTTATCGATATCATATTATTATTATTTTTTTTTATACCGATTACAGAGTGCACTATTACAGGATAGTAATACACAAGTACAAGTAGCAAGTAAGATGCAAGTTATTGTTAGCTCTTAATAAATTTTACTTCAATTAAGTTTGGTATAAACGTGCACTTAGATATTCGTCGAGCGAAATTACGACGAATGTAAGAAGTATATATACGAATGCAAGCTGTCCCAATTTTGGCGATTTCACGTACAGAGAGGCTTTGCGCTAATCGCAACTGCGCCCTTTTCCCTCTCGTTTTTATCCTACGCTCTACGTTTGATCCCTTTCTTCGGTTCGCGGTTTAACGTACGTTCGTACGTTATACACCTTCGAAAATATCAATCCTTTCACGGATCAAACTGAGACAGCTTGTAGACGTAGGATAATTAAGGAAATATACACGTATCGATTCACACATACGGATGTACGTTTTGTTTTCTAAAAAAAATTAAGCTTATGAGAGTATATGAGAATATATGCAGCGTTGATGCAAGCGAGAGCACACTTTATATATTGTATAATCGGTATATCAGTTTTAATCCACGTATGTGTGTGTGTGTGTGTGTGTGCGTATCTGCGGAGCGCAATTCGAAGCACCTGCTTGCACGCGCCTGTACACGCGCGTCTTTCAAACGCGGTGCCACGCATCGCGTGAGATTTTTTCACAGTACGTGCCTTCATTCTTTGATTAATCTTTACGACGTGAGCGCGGCGCGTTAACTGTTATACAACGTTGATTTCGTTGCCGTTTGTTGTCAGCCATTTAAACCATGTTGCGTGGAGCAGTATACGCGAAACTCGAACTATTTTAACCGTTGACGTTTTCCACCCCCTCCCCCTTCCTGTTCGTACGATTTGTATATAGACACCAGCGGACGCGACGTCACCTTTTATCAACTAGCGATGTAAGACTGATTGTAAGACTGATTTTTTTTACTACACGCACACGCACAATGCGCGCCCACGTATGGAATGCGCGTATAAATATATATATATATAAAGAGAGAGAGAGAGAGAGAGAGAGAGAGAGAGCTGAAAAAAATGTACAAGTATATACATCTATTTGTGCATATATATTATAATATATATTATATATTGTATATATTATATATATTATATATTTACACACTCTCACAAAATGTATGTTATCAATAATTGTGCAAGTTTGTTACGAAATAAACCGTATAATCTTATATGCCGTTGTTGCTTATTAATCAGTCCCGTTAATTAAGTTTACCCTTGATTAGAGGGTACATGCGTGGTATGTCGAGTTCAGTGATCCGCAGCCGTACCGCGGCAATATACCGATCGTTTCCGTGTCAGCGTACACATACACGTGCGGTGTGTAATGTGTGTACCTATGAGTGCGCGCGCGCGCGCGCAATGGCGGATTAGGGCTTTCGAAGACCTACACTCTACAGTCGCAGCGTAATGCGATAATTCTTCTAGAGGATGTCATGCAAAATTTCCTTTAGCTCTACATCCTGCGGATGACGATGAAGGAAGCGGAACCGGAGGAAAAGTAATTAAGGTCAGAGGGTTTAATGATGTTTTAACTTTCGCTTATTTGCGACTGGTTCTTGTAGATATATTCCCGCAAAGCGCGATTTAACGGCGTATATATATATATATATATATATAT